TTGTTTTTTTCCAGCAGTATCCACTCCTGGCAACTAAAACATGATTAACTCTTTATGGTTCTGTTTACCCCATTCAAAGCTCTTCAAAGATCTTTTCTTAATCTTAACCAAGTGTTTCCTGTCAAGGTCCTGTCTTTTTTTGACCCTCCACCCACCCTGACTCAGAAATGTATTTGGCAAAGCAGATCAATAGCACATACTTGTAACTTGTGCAAGACAAGGTTGCATCTAACTATGGTCCAATAGATATGAGGATGTTTTATTACCACTTAAATATTGCATTAGCCATTAGTTCTACAGTGGTTGTTAATGGGAATCCTTTAATCTAAGATTAATTATTTGTATTGATTTCAAGATTTGAAGAGAGTTTTTGGTGTCCCACGATAGTCTAGAATTCAGTTTCAGATGCTTTGGTATTATCTATCATCTTTTAATATATTTTAGGTGGGTGACATTAAATACTTGGCATGAAAATTGTCAACTTAAACATATTAAAAGCTGGTGTCTTTCCTAGTAAAATACATCACATAAACCCTAGTGAGTAAGATGCAGTAATTGCCAAAGCTCTATGCTCAGAATGAGGGAGATATCAGAGTTAGAGAAAGAGGGAGTAGAGAAAAAGAAAGCAGGACAGGTGTAGTCTTGGAAGTGTGTGTGTGCACGCGCCTTCTGGGTAGGTTACAAATAGAAGACAGAAAAAGGCGAGGACAAGGGAAAGATGGAGGAGGAACTTAGAGCTGGGTTGAGACAGACAAACCTTTAATATTTTAGTGTGTGTTGATTTGTTAGCAACAGAACAGCCAATCAGCATTGGGCACAATCCAAAAAATAAACCCAAACTTAAGCATCAAGGCATTTATATAAAGCTGCAAAACCTTGTCTATGAGACAGGAGAATCTAAGAGAAAGCCCACTCAGAATCGATTTCTGAGAGCCGAGCTTGCCCCCTTTTTTCAATGGACCCGTATAAAGATGAAGAGGAAGCGGAAAAAGATGAGTGAATAGATGAATAAGGAAAGACAAAGGATGACAAAGAATCTAAAACGGTGGAGAAAGACATGAGAAGTTTAGCCTTTCATGAAATGCACAGCTTATGAAACCAGATAGCTCTGAAATGTGAGTGTGTGACCACTCTGTGGCCTCCAGGTGTGTGTGTGTGTGTGTGTCTCTGTGTACGCCGCTCAAAGTCAAAGGGCAGATTTTGGTAGCAACCACACCCACCCTTCAAGGCTGGGTATCTCTGCTCTTTCAGAAGAACACAAATGAGTATCTGTGCGTGTGTGTGTGTGTGTGTATACGTGAACATATGTGTGTGTGTGTGTGTGTGTGTGTGTGTGTGTGTGTGTGTTTCAATGTGTGAGGCGCAGCTGTGCCGTCGTTTGGTGCTGACAGAGCCAGCGAGGATCCTTGAACTGGAAAGATGAGAACGTCCTCTAGAAGGCTTCATAAAAACATCTCATTGTCCCTCTCATTGTCGCACACACACACACACACACACACACACACCAAAATAAAACAACTTCATCCCTTTCTAAGCTCTCGGCCTTAGTTTGTGTGAGAGTTCGGCAGAGTGTGCGTGTGCCGAAGTCCCCAAAGCGTAGGTGTGCTTCAAATATTGCACCAAAACTTTAACACACACACAAGTTAAGAGTGCCATGCCCAATGCTGCTGGCAGCCTTAACCAACCACTCGTCAATCTGTTCTCAAAATAAAATAAAAAAAAGCAAAAAGAGGAAACGTTTCCCTTCCTCTTGGCAGAAGGTAGAAGCTGACACCTTTCCCTGAGTGTCCTGGCAAAGAAAATCTCTTTTTGTTTTCCCTCTTTTTTTGAAGATGAGACTATTCCCCATTTCCTTTCCCTTTCTCCAGCATTACTTCCTTTCTTTGCCTTCCTCATTAGTTAGTGGGCAGAGCTGCAATTAGGACAGAACTGTTTCAGAGACTGGGGAGCGGAGGGTAAGGAGGAGAGCGGAGACTGTAAGGATGGAGCGAGAGAGGTAAACAAGAAAGAAGAGTTGAAAGAATGTGGCTGGTAGAGGGGAGGAGGAGGTAATTAATGAAGCTGCTATAATTACTGAGGCCTGTTTACGCCAACTATGGAAGACAACACACACACAAACTCCCGACAAATTACACTCACCTTTCCACAGCAATAATCTACAATGACTATTTAAAATGCTGCCTGAGTACGTTGACTAATGACTCGCTTTTTTTCAACCCATCAAACCGAAGAACACAGTGTTGACTCAGATTACGTTTTTCTTTTAACCAGAAAAACATAATAAATGCAAATTATTTAACCTTGTAAGGCGTTCTTTGAGCAGTTAATTTGACAAAGAGCAGATTTTTTATGGAAGAAATAAAAGCTGTTGGGGCATAAAGATGAGGAGATGATGTAGATGAGGAGTGTGAAAAAAAAATGACAAAAGAGAGACAAGAGATGGGAGTCAGGAGGAGTTAAGCGTGGGACGACGGAGAAAAGGAAAAGAGGGGAGAGGAGTGGAGGGTCATGAGAGAGAGGCACAATAGGAGAGAATGAAAAGGGGATAAAGAGGGAGGAGAGGACAAAGAGAAATGAAAGAGGGATAAGAGAAGGAGAGGATAAGGAGAGGAGGTGACGGAGAGAACATATCGACAGAGGACAGATTCAGCAGGAAGGGTGGGAGGAAGGAGAGGGGGCAAGGAAAGAGCCAAAAGAGGAGGAAGGAGGGGAGGAGTGCAGGTGGGTGTGATGGGGGACAAACCAAGGTGGAACTCTGATGATGCTAAATTTGGCAAAAGGAGAAGACTTCAGTGTGTGTGTGTGTGTGTCGTGTGAGTGTGTGTGTGTATGTCGGGAGACTTGCTGAATCGGCCGTGGTTCCAGTTTCACGCCTCTGAGTTTGACAGAGGGGGGAGAGAAAGGGTGAGAGAAGGAGAGAGAGAGAGGTCCCCAGCCAGTAATGTTCCCTCAGGGCAGACGGACGAAAGGATGGAGGGAGGGAGGGAGGAAAGAGGGAGGTGAAGGGAGAGACGGCAGGAAAGGGGACAAAGTACGGGAAGAAAATGTATACCTACCTTTGCAAACACACTTCATTACACACATTCTTTAACTCAGCATCTTCTACTGATTACAATTATATGCTACAGGCCTGCAAATTATCCCATTAACTACAAATCTTGACCATTTCCAACACCTTATTAAAAGTGTTAATATTGATTTTCTACCTCTCAGGCAGCCCTTAGTTTCCATTCATATCAGATGACGTGTAAACACTTGAAAGTAGAGGTCTGCATGATGTGTTTTGGTGAATTTCAAGTCTGTGTGTCACTTGTTGTACAAGTTGTAACATTCACTATTTCCATTATTTAATTAAACAATTAACTGAGAAAAGAATTGGCAGATTAATTATTGTAGTTAGTTGTCTGTTTAGCAGTGCACGGTCAGGATATGCACCATCAACAAACCCCATTGTTGATGGTGCATACGTTCAAAGAAACCTATTGAAAGCATTGCCTTCACACCTTCGTTTTTCAAACTGTTTCCATTGGAGTTTCATCAAATGCACCACTATGGCAGGGTTTTCAAAACAGTCACTGCTCCCCAATGCACTACTACACTATTTAAACTATGACAACTAAATGTTGACTTTAAAGGTTTGCCTCTCTTAGTTTCTGGTTTCAAGTGTCTTCAAGTTTATTTTCATATTGCACTGAAATTAACTGAAACTAATGGATGCCTGAACAGTGGGAAATCTTAAAGAATCATTGGCATTGATGTGTGGCTGAAAGGCTAAACTATGCAAAGCCACAGTCATGGTTCCAACTCCTGACCCCAGGATGAACCTCACCCCAGGGTCCCTAAAAATAACCCCACTGGCAACCAGCTGAAATCAACACACACAAATGATTTGCATGTGTGTGTCTTTTTCCTGTACAGGTCCTTTTCATACACACCTGTGAAAATCTGCCTGGCTCTTGTTATGCAAAGCATGCAAAGCATTTGATATGCATTCGCCCACAAGTCTCCCTGTGTGTTTTGTCTGCAGATCTTACTCTGTGCATTTTAGCATCAACATTTCTCTCCCTAAGCGAAAAAGTGTGTGTGTGTGCGTGTGCGTGCGTGTGTGTTAGTGGTGAGGTGTGTGCTAATGGACATCTAAATGCTGCTGATGTTACGTTGAATAGTTTAAGGGCCCTCAGGTCCCCTTAGACCAATATTGGGAGAGAAAAAGTGAGGGAGAGAATGTGACTTCTGCAAATCGCTTTGACAAGGACACCCGTGCCTCGAGCGGCGTCCTCTTTCGCCTCATCGAACACACACAAACACACACACACACACACACACTGCGACATCCACACCTCAGCAGAATCGTGAGGTGACTGTTGCGCTCTGAACAGCTGACTTGGTAGAGGACGTTTGTGTGTGTGTGTGTGTGTGTGTGTGTGTGAGTTGTGCTGAATCCAGTTTTGACACAGTTTTGAAAGATAACTGAGAAACAGTCTTTTTTTTAAATAATGTGAGCTGGTTAAAGGAAACTTGTTACAACTGTACTGTCAAGTATATATTTTTTTAAAATTCAAATTAATCACATATTGACTTACTGAAGGCAAACTAACCTTTTATACAAAATTCTAGCAAATGAATGGATACCACAAAGACCTTGTATTGAGGAAAATATTTTTTGTGTGTATTTTACAAAATGTTTTGAAGGGTTTAGGGTAATTTACGCAAGCATGTAATCCTTCAGTTAAAGTTAAACTTTTCAAGACTGGAGTTTTGACAGGGTTAGGGTTAGGCTGCATCATTCAAAAAACTTGACTTGATTTGAGAGGGTTTGCAGTGAACAGACACGACAGTATCTGTTCTCAGTCTCGTTAACAATGATGCACACACTTGTCATTGTTAAATTTTACATTGTTGAGTTGAAAAACTCTGGGCTTCCCTCCAAAGTGATCATTATCTGCCTTTATATCAACCAAGCTCACACATTTGAAAGCCCTCCCTCTGGCTCGTCTTACCTCAAAGTCGTTGGCCTTGTTGTAGTGCATGTTGAGCGCCCTGAAGAGCTCGGCATCGCGGCCTACCGCCATCTCCTCTGCGGTGGTCACGCCCTCGTTGATGGCCTGGCGGGCAAACTTCTCCATCTGGATGTAGTAGAACTCCCTGAAGTTGCTGAACCACTTGATCAGCTGGGAGGTGATGCAGCGATTGAACTGTAGAGGAAGAAAATGAAATAACCTTTTGTTAGATTAGAAAAAAAATCCACATTAAATTTAATTGTAGCAATTGCAAACTTGACACATTTAATGAATGTAGGTAGAGAAAGAATTATTGAGATCGATAGTGTCTGTAAGGAAAAACAATACATGTCTTATGTGTAGGTTCTGGTGTACTGAGGCTGCTGTGGACTGCTACAGGTTATTGAATATCAGTTCAGTTATCCATTGGATAAATAGCTGTTTCACTGTAACAGATTTTAATGATTTATGAGGGTTGTAACAGACGTTAAACATATCTTTAAATGTTTTAACAGATAGTTTAATAGTAGTTTTTTGGTGAGTAGATTTGTGACTGAATGTTGCTTCCTGTTTGATGGGGCTGTAGTTTTATAATAGCACAGCCTGTTTGCCTTGGTACTTATTTGCATGGTGGCATGTAATCAAATTTGACTTTAAATGGACCTCTGTGTGAGAGCTTAGCTTGGTTTATGGCACAACATTTACATCTACTCATAACTTTTCTTTAAAGCATTACCTTACTCATTTACTCCCTGTGGAAAGTCATTCATTTACAATACTAGTAACATTACTTTTGCGCTACAACATTGCCTGACATGCTTGGTCACATAATATGAACTGCATTTGACAAGACAAACTCACTCAAACAAGCTCACTCGAGTTGCTTGCACAGCAAACTATGGCTTTACAGTAGACTAGTCCATGGTATTTGACGTGTCTATCACTATAGCAGTGGTTATACCTCATGAGGAGCAGTCTCTCAAATCGTTTGTTAGGCAACCTGTTCCCTCTCAGCACAGGACTGCCCAGGCTGAAGAGCCTGTCCATGGTCACTCTAGACTGTCTCTGTATTGAATTTCATGGATATTGTAAGGAAACGTTCAGGATCTCCATCTCTGACTTCAGATATTCAATGACTTCGGTGTCGGAGTTGAAGGAAGCTGTATCCTCCTCTTGCGCCATTGTTGCGCAAAAGTGCATAAAAAGATTTTCTTCTATGATAGATAATTCTAGTAACACAAGTAACGTAATTGTTTGATTAGTAACTGTGATTACTGATTTAGGAACAGTAATGCATTCATTACAATGTTACAGACAAATGTAAATAAGTACAGTACTTTGTAAAGTAACCTTCTTTACTTTGTGTCGGGTGTACCAACACTGGAATTGACTTATCTTTGTATAATTCATGCAGTTTTTTTGTAAACCTCTAGCAGCTCTGAGCTTTACTTGTATGAATAAGAAGAAAACAATGGAAATGTTTTTACACATTAACAACAAGCTGCTTTAAATGCAGGTCACTGAGAGGAAAAAAAGGAGTTCTGCTTTATATATTTCTTTTGAGGATTATTTAGTCAAGGTCAAATGTGTTAATTTTTTTGGTTTGTTTACAGCAGATTTCACTCCAGTCAAAGTCACTTACTGCTGGGATGAATTATTACATTTTGATTATTTTCTACACCGTGGGAATATCCTATGTCAAGATTAAATAGGCAATATAAACAGGAGAAATATTGTGATTTAGTTGCATTTTCTTGTGTGCGTGTGTGTGTGTGTGAGTGTGTCCCTGTTTGTACATAATGCATGTGTGTAAATACACTCCAATTAACTTTAACGAACACACACTTTTAAAATGTTTCAACCTCATTAGCCACTAAAACAGTCTACACCTTGAGGGCCCTCGCTTACAAAAAAAAGAAACGAAATCGGCCCCTAGAAACCTTCTAATCAAACAAGAATGACCCAAATATTATCTTATTGTTATGCCATCATGGGCTTTCAGAACGAGCCAAACCAACATTAAACAACTCTCTTCAAACACTGCTCCAGCCCTGCAGGCCTCAACAGTACACTGCAAATAATGTCCCCCAAAACAGGACAGCTAAACTATTTTTTAGCCTCTTTTGTACATTGTTTGGATTGAGTTATGTGTTTTGAATATACGTGACCAAAAAGAATTCAATCAATTCAGAGTTAGAAAATCATGTCTACGCTTTCATAACAACATCTAGAATACACACAGTAAGTATGTGTGTGATACCTACTTGCCCCTTTGCATTTTCATCTCCTCCTCATAAGAAACAAAACATTCAGAAGAAAAAAACACAGCGACAGCCCAGTGAGAGAGAGAGAGAGAGAGAGAGAGAGAGTGTGTGTGTGTGTGTGTGTGTGTGTGTGTGTGTGTGTGTGTGTGTGTGTGTGTGTGTGTGTGTGTGTTCAGTGAAGGGGAAAAACGGCTTTGATACGGAGATTAAGCTCGGTATTGTTACAAGACATTGTCTCACAGGAACAAGGGATGAGCGAGAGAGATAGGGGGAAAGAGAGAGAGAGTGAGAGAGATGAATGGAGGGAGGCAGCATGGAAAAAGGAATGCAGTGAGAGAGAGAGAGCGAGAGAGAGAGCAGAGGATGACAGAGAGGGAAAGAGATATTTTTTCAGGAGCTGTCAGAGGGGGTGACATAATGGAGCATAATTGGGAGGGTGTGTGTGTGTGTGTGTGTGTGTGTGTGTGTGTGTGTGTGTGTGTGTGTCTGTGCGCAGCACCAGGAAAGGAGTTGGTTTTACAAAGCATGGTGTGACGGGAGGGGAACGTGTCTGTGTGTGTTTGTGTGCGTGTGTCTGATTTTGACCCACAAAAGAGTTGCACGAAATAAAGGATAACTCAGCAATTAACGCACAAACATACACAAGACGACGTCATCGGTCTGTCCAAAATCACATACGGAGCAAACCATCATGTCACAAACAGCCTCTGATACGCAAACAACATTTGTACGTAAATTAATACTCAGAAAACCCCACAAATACACAACCCACTCCCCAGATACCCTCCAGTTACTCTCCATGTGCAAATAAAGATTGTACAACTTTATACAGTTTATATGGTCTTTTCTCTTCATGGTTTGCTTCTGCATTCACCTGTAAACACACTATGTCTTCTTTGACGGCTTTCTATGTGGAAAATGCGTTTCTGTTTTACTGCTTTTGTTGCAGTACCACGGTTGACCACCGGGAAAGACTGGCTTCAAGACTGACTTTGCTCCACTGTACAGATAAACTATCGCAGTGTACAGCCTACTCTGATGTCCCCATGTGTCGCAGTGATGCTTTGATGAACGTAAATCTTAAAGGTCCAGTGTGTAACATTTAGGAGGATGATTTCATTAGTGTATAATCACCTGAAAATAAGTATAGTTATGTTTTTGTTGCCATGCCATGTTGCTACAGTAGCCCAGAACGGACGGACCAAATAATGGGTCGAGATAGAGGTGTTCAGTTGAAGTCTACAACAGTAGATGCCTATAAATCCTACACACTGGTCCTTTTTTAATGAAGTTTGTCCCGCTGTGTATCACTTTTTGAGTGACTAAGTGTGTGTTTCTCAACCTGATCATTTTCTTTCAAAAGGCAGATATTTCAGGAATGACTTCACATTCATACACCCGGCCATCCCACCACCTGCCCTCCCACCCACTCACTGTCCCGTCCAGCTCATCACAATCAGCACAAACCAAAAAACAAGAGAGACAAAAGACAGACAGAGAATAGAGGTGGAGGGGTAGTGGGGGGGGGCAAAATGCTGAGCTTGAGGAATGCCATTTTCTGTTTACAACGAAAAGGGGGAAAGAGAGAGTGTCAGAGAAAGTGTCAGGGTGCCTCACCCCCTCTCTCCTTCCCTTGATGGCGGGTGTTGTCAGCCCCCCCAGGCCATGTCGGAAGGGCAAACACACATCCTTTAAGAATCTGCCCACTTCAACCGGATTCGTCATAGCTCGGCACATTTTATAGAGGACAGCGTGAATGTGCACAATCAACATAAATCTACGAGTTGTGAAGGTTTCCTGTGGATCCTGGAAGAATAGCTGTTGTAGTAACTTTTTAGAATTATGTTTTGGGGCATTTCTGCTTTACTAGACAGTTTACACTGCAGATAGGTTGTTGTGGTGTGTGTGTGTGTGTGTGTGTGTGTGTGTGTGTGTGTGTGTGTGTGTGTGTGTGTGTGTGAGACGTTTAGTGGGCAGTTTGAGACATGGTGTAAAATTCATAGTCATATGGGAGCCATAGTTTATAGTAGTTTTGAATGTTGGTTTAGAGTGCCAACATGTTTGGCATGCTACAGAGAAAGAAGCTAACTAACTATAGACCACACAGTTACTATTGTTTATAGAGTTTTCAATCAACTTCCTTCAGATTTGATCTCAGATTTCTTAATGCTCGTGTTGACTTACTTCATATACATTTTACATTTCTCCCTTTTTACCTGTCTTTTTAGTTATAAACGCTCATAAATTTACTAGTGCTGTCAAACGATTAAAATATTTAATCGCAATTATTCGCACATTTTTATCTATTCTAAATGTCCCTTGATTTCTTTTTGTCCTATTATTTTTTCTCATTTTAATGCTCTTATCAACATGGAAAAGTCGATCGGCTTGCTTTGTGCAAATGTTTTTTTTTTATTGAAAAATAATCCATTGTCGCCTGGCTTTGACGAGGGTGCGGAGAATACGCATCAGCTGTGTGCTTGGCCATCAAGTGGTATTTCAGACTGGACGTGCTGCGATGATAGCTCAGTTCACAATGACAAAACACACAGATCAACTTTTTAAAAGTAAACTTTCCATTCAGAATATTATTGCCATCCATTTTGGCGTCTCGCGCTCGCCATCCACTCAAAACTTAACGTCTACTACTCTTAAACAAGTGTGTGCGGCGTGCCTGTTGTTTTGTTTCCGGTCTAGCTAGATCTGGTGTGGCGTTGTAGTTTTTCTAACGTTACTAGTTGTTGCAACAGCATGTGAAAAAAACTACAAAGTGTGCTAGGCCAAAAAGAACGTTAATCTCGCGATAAAAAAATTGAAGCCGTTAAAATGGGTTTGTGTTAACGTCGTTATTAAAGTGTTTAACCGACAGCACTGAAATTTACCTAGGTTTCTTTACTGAACTCCATTATTTGGCAACGTTTAACACAGCCAGATCATTTTCCCGGAAAGAAATAAAAGCACACGATAAATTATTGCCTGGCCTTAGTGACCTTAAACCCTGTTGCTCACAAAACAGTAGCAGTTCTCAATTTTTAAAATAGTGAGCAATTAAGACGGTGTTGTTTTCCATTTAAAGACAGCCTAAATATTTAAAATATAGCCAGATAGATTTCATGCTGCATATCTCTGCCTACATGACTGGATATAGTGCCTCCACAGTTATTACAATTCATAACAGACATAAACGTAAAACCTGGGACAGATTTAAATGCTTTGTCATCTAGAGAATTCAAACATTTAAACATGGTAATTACTCAAGTTCAGTTATATCGGCAGACAAGCTGTTGCTGGTTCACATCCTGACATCGCCAAATTGGCTGTGTAGCTCTAATTGACAAGACGGGTGAGAGGCGGGTTGGACGCTAATTGATTCCTGCTGAGAAGGCGGCATTGAGATGTCATTTCAGCCTCTCAAGGCAAGAGTCTTCAGGGCTCTCGCTGATAAATGTGTCGTCGCTGTGTGTGTAAGAGCGAGTGTATTTAAAAAAAAAAAAAAAAAAACTCAGCTAGCAGGGAACTTGTGAGTGAGAGTGAGAGTGTGTGTGTGTGAGTCGGAAGGAGCTCCCTGAGCCGGCGAGCATCTAATTAATCCTAACTACTCCAGTCTTAACGAGGGCTTAATTACTCTCACTGACTCTCTCAAGACGAGACGGCAGCAACCTCAGCGTCTCATGCTAACATATATGATTGTCTGGTCAGAAGGCAAGAGCTTTCACTACGCAATTAAGATCCTGTATGTGTGTGTGTGTGTGTGTGTGTGTGTGTGTGTGTGCGCACTTGCTCATCTGTGCCTAAAACAGTTGTCAGCTCAACCCACTTCCCACACTGAAGCGAGGCAGCCATTGTGCATAAAAGGCTCATCTTTAAGAACCAGTTTTCCCATAGACAAAGTCCATTCAAGTCCAATTAGGGGAAGCCATTCAGGGCCCTAATTCCCTTACAGTGAATCTGCCTGATCCTACTAACACATGCTACTTATTGTTCCATGGGAAGGAGGAGGGAGAGAGGGGGGGAATAGGAGTAAGAGACAGGGTGAGAGACAGAAAAAGAGAAAGAGACACTGACCCGGATTTTTGGAAAATATGGTAATGATGAGGGTAATGAATGCAGTGGGACAATGAAACAGGACACACACATACACAGACAGACAGCAACAGGGTGCTCTCTCTCACTCAGTCCTCAGTGTGTGCGTGCGCACACACACACACACACCAAAAAGCCTTGAAAAGAACAGCCTCGCTCATCATAAATAGGATTATCTATGATTCATTTCATTATTAAGCAAAATAATATCTGCAGAGTTCCACCCACACACAAATATGATGGATTATCTGGGATTACGACTCAATTAAAACCAAATTTGACTATAAACCATTATTTGCATAATGAATAATAAGAAACTGAATTTTCGGGATAGGACTGTAGATATATTCTTATTGTCAACAAACCCCATGAAAAGAATAAAACCAGCTATGAATTACTACTAACAAGACTGTGTATCCAAAGGCTGATATATGTTATTCCTCTGTGCCATAGACCTCCAACACGTCACTGAGTTACACTTTACACTGGGTAACATGTTCCTTCCTTACCCTGAACACGCTGTAGTTAAGGCTGAGCAGTAGAGTCTGCCATCCCTATGCAGCATTCAAACTGCCTACTTACACAGGGGGGATTCACAGGAAATGCAGGCTTGTAATTCAGCATTACTGTTTTTAATTCTATCTAATTGATATCAGCCTCACTGTTTACTGTTTACTCTCTTAACTCCATATCCGAGCTGTATTAAGTAATTGCTAATGCAGACCTGGGGACTGGAAGCTTCAGGATTATAACATCAAGGATTTGTTTTCTGCTGTTTATTGTGACACAACTTGTAGATGTGAGAAAGAAACCAAATGTGTAAAAGCAATTGAGACCTGGTTTTCTTTGTCTACAGAATAAAAAGCTCATGTGTTGCCATCGCCGTCAGTCCCACAGCTCATATGTGAAATTCCAATGGAAAACTGTTTCCATTCCAATAAATCCCAGTCTTGGTGGTTCTCCCTTCGGTTGCAGATCGCGCCTGTAATGCCGTCCATCTGCTGAGCCAAGTGGCTGGCCAAAGCACTGCAAATATCTCCTAATCTAAATTCATGTTTGTTGAGATGAAGAGATTAATTGAATATCAGTTTGGAGATAAACCCACAGATTGGAGACTAGATTAATTTTAAAAGCTAATATCAATCTCCAAAAGATAAACTCATACACTGAGCCTATGCATTAACTCATTAGTCCTAATTCATTCATTCTCCAAATTAAACCCCAAAGCCACATAAATATCAAGCATATTTACTCAGATAACTGAAAGTATGATTTAGACATGATAAGTAAGCTGATTATGGAAAATGATCAATGTCAGCACATAACAGTTGTTTTCTTTTTCCAGTTTGCAGTGTGTGTGTATTACATTGTATTTAGCCTGAAGATGATGCAGTGTTTATAGCAACGAAAAAGATTTTTGGAAACCTTTTTAAGGTTTACAGTTGAAAGAGTGTCTCAGATTTAATTTGTTTTAGTTTTATTTCTACACATCATCACTTGACAAAAAAGCATTCCCGTCACTCTTATTTAAATCAGGATTTCTGGGAAAATCTTGACTTTTTGGAGGGATTAAAAAGTTTTAAAGCATGTTGCTTTGTCAGGTTTTTAATAAGTAGTTGACTAAATTCAGCATTAGCCACTTTTATTATCTCAATCACACTAAACAGAATAAATGGATACTATAATACCAATTTTTAACACCTAATGGACTCCCAGTTAATGACGAATCAGACACACATACTGGGAGCAGGTAGGCTTAGCAACCTTGTGTTTGCCTAGCAACCTGGTGTCCCAGCGACCCTTGTTGCCATGGCACCCGATGAGGATGTGGCACTGCCACGAGGAAGTGGTCACCACAGATATGAGCCAAAGGGCAGCTGGTGTGTGTGTGTGTGTGTGTGTGTGTGTGTGTGTGTGAGATGCGTGTGCTGCTCATTTGAATACAGTGTCCTGAATCTGTAGAGGAGCCGTATGCTCCTTTGCAAAACACGTAGCAGCCTGTAAACACAAAACAATCAGCGCCTTTGTTTTGAAGCTGTTGTTCTGTTGTCATCCCTTGCATTTGTTTGTCCTCCCCTCGCTCCCTCTGTCATTTTCTCAACACCCCCCCCCCAAAATGCACACACACACACTCCATCATCTCCTTTTCCCTTCTAACTCATTTTTCTTCTCTTGCCACTCACTCTTTTCATATTTCTTACTGACTTCATTTTATTTTTCCATTTTTATTCCTTTTTCTTTATCTCTACCTGTGCATCCTGTCATCAGTTAGATCAACACTTAGACTGATTATCAGTCGTGTTTCTGTGTTAAAAGAAACTTCAACTTCTCATTTTATGTTAGTGAGAGTGAGAGTGAAAGCGCTGCTGTATAGAGAGGTTGAGATCAGTGTGTGTGGTTTGGGAGGGGGGGGTTACAGTATGTGTGTGAGAGGGAAAGTGGGCGTTTACCCCCCCCAACCCCAGGCCGATTAAGGCCAGAAACTCTAATTATGCTACAGAGACGTGACAGACTGGAGCACCCATCTGCGCTATAGGGTCTCTCAAACACACACACACACACACACACACACACACACACACACAGTAACAGAATAACATACACAAACAACCAAACTGAATAATAACGCACAACAATATGCACAAAAGTCAGAAACTGATGACTGTGAGGCTATCGGAGAGTGAAAGTTGGTGAGGAGAGAAATGAGATCAGGGGGAAAAAAAAAAACAATCTGTAACCAAATGTAAAACCCAAATGCTTCACACAAAGACGCACACCTGTTTATAACAGCTCATCTGCCCCATCTGTCACTGAAAAACACACTGATGTGATTTTTGAGATCTGATTCCAGTTGAATTCCCATCATTTTGTATCCACACTCAACCTGATCGTGACTGCAAGGCTTCTCTTATCACTCGTCTATTCAAGCCAGAGTATGAGTCACTTTTTCCTATCTCCTTACAATTGTATACATGCACATTGTGGATTTAATCTCAACATGACTCAATTCAAATCTACAATGGAAATCTGACCTTTATTATATCTATAACTACACTAAAACCATATATAGTTCTGAGTATCCAAGAGGAACTTGAGCAAAATCATATGTCTCTTCTGTTATGTGTGTCTCTTAATGTGCTCTTGCATGATCAAATGAGAAGTATATCCAGTAAACAATGATGTAGCTTTAGCTTATGAAGGGAGAAACTAAATCAGAGTAGAGAAAGATGACTTTTTGTCTTTTCTTTTTTGCACCCATCATTCATTAATTTGCTGCTTTTCAGTTTGTTGCGTAAATGAGTCTGTTTATATTTAGTTTAAGCTGTATATTTCATTGTTTTAAACCCTTGCTGAAAACTTATTTATCTCCCACAATCTGGAGAGAAATAAAAATACTTACATAGACTCACATATGACAAATGTAACAGTGATGAGAGAATGAATAGTAGAGAAACACTAGGAAGAAGAAAAGGACTGGGCAAAGACTTACCTTGACGTCAGAGAAGAACATTTTGAGCATGTTGGAGGAAGGGTAGCGGGTGTAGAAGAACATCAGCTTGGCCTTCTTCAGGTGGTTGGGAGACAAGCCCTCCTGAATCTGAATAAAACATGTTAAGGAGGCTACAAACAGTTGTTTCACTAAGTTTTCGTAGGACTTTAAGTCCAAGTAAATCATCTTCAAATGGTCTGAATAGTGTCAGTCGATGCACATTATAACTGCTTCATTTAAGTGATATTTTGGACTTAAATTCTGTTTTCTTGGCTGTACCACAGTAACAATCACAATGATTGTACGCTGAAAAGAACAGTGCATGCAGCTCCTCTAAAGCAATTTGTGGCTCTGTTCATATGGAGTATGATTAGGGTTAGAACAACATATTGGGAAAAGATAGATTTATTGTCTGAGGAAAATATTGCTGGGTAGCACAGTATCACTGTCCAATGTGAACCTTGCCTCTCACCAAATGCATGATGGCATAGCCACCCTCAACCAAGCCCCCAGGAAGAGCATTGGGCTTTAGGTTGATGAGGTGATTTCCCATAATTTCCATACACAACCATAAAAAAAAATCAGCTGTAGAATAAATGTCACCAACACCCTCACAAGACTCTTAGCATAACCAATAAAATTCATCAATCCATATCTGTATCCACAGAGTGATTTAGTGTCAGAGGTGGCTCTTTTCTGACGAGTGACCACTCCTTTAAAAGTCATGAGGGTAACTGCTGTCTAACACAACCACAACAAATTCGGAGCTACAATAAAAGAAAACCAGTTCTCTGGTAGGCGTGCCATTTTACACCCAAAGCAAAAGCAAACACGAGCACCTGCTGGCTTTGGATCAAATCACACATTCACTCCTGCATCTTGCCGACTCTGCAGCCCCGGTGTCTATCCCACTGTCTCAACAAGGAAAATGATAATTGTGGAAGACCTGGTTGCAGAGGCACAGTGTGTGCGTGATTGTGATTGTGTGTGTGTGACAACAGCTGTGCCCCACCACGCTGCCATTTCCCCACCACATTAACAGCCCCTATAATCTATCAGAGAAGATGAGGCAATCAATGGAACCCCCTGCAAGGTCAATTAGCACAGAGACAAACACACACGCACACACACATACAGAAACCCCAGGGGCCCTATATGGCTGGAGAGAGGAACAGGGAAGGAGGGAGAGAGGGAGCATCAGCAATCAGAAAAAGGTGTAAAGATAAAGAGAGAAGGAGCAGCTCCAGGACAGGAAGCAGAGGAGAAACGTGAAGCTTTAGTTGCTCTTTACTTTTGATGTACTGACAAAAAGGAGAAAAAAAAGTGACCAAGATTATAACTGAATGCAAAAAGTTGACCGTAAAATGTGATACCACAACACAGCTCACTTGGCCTCAATAACCGAAGCGAGAGGCGAGTCTTATTGTCATCCATCGTAAGCAGCATATACGTCAGGTCACCAGATGACAACAACACCATCACCTAGTTAACATTCATACCAACCTGTCACTATGTGTGTGTTTAGAGAAGATAATACATTGTGTTTTTGTAGCCTGTCTTGTTTTCTATGGAGGCACACACACACACACACACACACACACACACACACACACACACACACACACACACACACACACACAAACTACACAAACAAATACAATTCACCTCACCAACATGACACAGGATAAACAGTGTGAAGCAATATAATGCAAAAAAAGCACATGACGTGTATGTGTGTGTGTGTAATAGTAGCTATAGTGAGTCAGTGAATAAACAATGCAACTGATGCTGATCTTTTTTTTCTTTCCTATTAGTGTGTATGATGCACATGTGTGAATATGTGTGAATGTGTTTTGTGCAGGGCTCACTGTATCAGGTATAACTTGACCTTGCTGCCAGGTGTGTGTGTGTGTGAATGGGGGTGGTGGAAAAGAGGGAAGGGAAATTCATAAATTAATGGGGGACATCTGCTCAGCTCTGTATAAAGGACTAAAGATACAAAGACCTGAGAGATGTAGATGATGAGATGTGTGTGTGTGTGTGTGTGTGTGTGTGTGTGTGTGTGTGTGTGTGTGTGTGTGTTTGGGGCAAACAATTTTAACCCAACTGCCAGACTTTCTTGAAGCCTTAAATCCACCGAATTAAAAGTAGACAATATAAACCGAGTGACAACGCAGAGAAGTTCCAACAGAAACAACATAAATCACTTTCAGATTGACGGAGGACAAGCAGCAGGACAGGAGACGAGGTTTATGTTAAATGTGGTCTTTCTGAGACAATAGCTAAGAAGTTTGGCGTGTTCTCAAGAGCTACAAAGCTAGACAAAGCTACACTTAAGACATTGCTGATCCCAAGACAGCTTTAGAGTGTTTGGATTACACAATATAATGTGCAATATATCAGACAGGCAATTTTGTAAATGTATTAATGTGTCCTATATGTTTTAGTTCATTTACCACATAAATGTGTGTTTAGTTGGCAGTAAAACTACTTGTTAATTTAATATCATGACAGCAATACTTTCAATAAACTTTAATATAATTCAAAATATGATCTAGTTTAGGTACTGCAACTAGATGATTACACACAGAAAAGTGCTCAGATGTCATACAAATGCACTTGAATAAGATAACAGTCAGGCGTGAAACTAACATTCTGTTGATTATCTTTTCAATTAACTGAGTAATCATTTAGTCTATAAAATGCCATGAAATAGTGAAATAAAATACCTGTCACAATCACAAAACGCACCAACAGTCCAAAAGAAAACGAACAGCAACACATCCTCACATTGGAGATGCTTTTTGCTCTTTTGAAAATTGTTTTCGATTAAGTTTCTGTCCATCCACTATAATGATTAATCATCATCATTTCAAGACTAGCAGTATCACTACAGTTTGTTCAGAAGTTATCATATAATATTAATTCATAAATTGACTGAATTCATAGTGGGAAAATAAATTTCTTCTGAAAGTGAATTAACTCTTTTTAAAGGATTGCTGTTATTAAAATTAAATCAAACATTTTTAGATTCTTTTACCTACAAAATAAAAAAGGGAGGGTTGAAGGGTGGTCAATATCTTTGAAATACTAATGTCCAATTTCAAAGACTTTTTTTTTCTTCCAAATGAATGGAAAAGCATTTTGGAATGAAACGGCTCAGCAGGATCAAGAGACGTGTCAAATATTTCTTTTTTAATTAAAGCAACATCTAAATTGGCTTTGAAGACGACACTGTGATCACATCCCCATCACAGCTGCAAGGAGTTCCTATTTGTTAGGTTCAAAGTCTTATTTTTCTTTTTACTTTGTTCTTCAAGCGTGCATGTGTGCATTTGTTTGTGTGTGTGTGTGTGTGTGTGTGTGTGTGCATGTGTCAGTCAACGTGTGTGCATGCGTAGTGGCCGGGAGAAGCCCTCTTCATATGAAAGGTTAGGAACGAAAAGATAAACAGCTACCTGCAAACACCTGTCCGCATGCACACGCCATGAAAGGGAGTGTTTGTGTGTGTGTGTGTGTGTGTGTGTGTGAAAAGAAGCAAAACACACACAGCTACCGATCAACTGCGAGCACAGGCCAACAAATGAAAGCGAGTATGAGCGACCGACGACAGGGAGGGAAACAACTAGGAGATCAGCGTGTACATTTTAGATATTACACTTCTTATGTTATAACACACACATTTAAAAGCTTCCATCGATAGGGCCAAGCATTCACCTGTTCCTCTCCCGTGCTCTTTGAAATATGATTAGCTTTGAGCTCCTATGTACCATGTCTTACCCCCCCACACACACACACACACACCACACAGACACAGAGAAATATGATTTGCTTTGAGCGTTTATGTACAAAGTCTTTGTGATGAAAGAGAACCTAACAGCACAAGAGTGTCTCAGACAGTGTGTGTGTGTGTGTGTGTGTGTGTGTGTGTGTGTGTGTGTGTGTGTGTGTGTTGAAGAGGGAGCTCTCTAGCCTTTCTCAGCACCTTTAAACACCACAACCTGCTGCACAGACTTAAAAGAGCTTGAGAGAGCAGCGTGCGACCTGTTTAATCTTCCCCCTCTTGCAAGACCCATCGCGCCCCGTTTCATCTTCCCCACTCAGCGAGGAAACAAGAGGGTTAGAGCAGGAACCAATTAATGCAGATTAATTGATATTAAAGACTTTCTTTGACTACTGCCTGCTGCTGCTGCCGCCTCTAAGGGGCCTCAGTGTGTTTGACTGTATTAAAAATGTGACTCTTGTGGAGCAGGGAAATCTAATTATTGCAGATTCCAACTCTTTCCAAGTGAACAAAAAAGTTAAAGTAAGAATGTTCTTTATACTAACAATAATTATCCTTTACTTGTGTTTAACAAAAGTAATATGTCCTTAATAAAATAATCTGACCTCATTTAATTAAGTCAAAAAAAGTCAAATGACCCAACGTCAAGAAGGAGATTTCTTCTTTTTTATCACCAAAATGATAATGTATCATGATATATATATATATATATATATATATATATATATATACTCAATATTTTAGGGTCATATTGTCCATTGTATTCTCTACTTATCTTGCAGTTACTATTAATTGAATTAATTTAGTACTTACAGGAAATGAAGCAGGAGATGCATTGACAAATGTAACAAACTAAACAAGAGATATAGGGTATGCATTCAAAACTGTGAGTTGATTTAGTGTGCAACAGCTTTAAGCATACTGAATCTTGTCCGCAGTGGATACTAAAAACCAGGTCAGAATTAGTATGTAGTATGGAGTTGGGACACAGATCAATTCTAATCTCAATTCTCTTAAGACCAAAACCTAACCTAAGTCTAAAAGCTTCTTTCTGAAGGTGTAAATCACTTCACAACACTCACTCACATACACAGGTTCAATACCTCACAGTATTAAGGATACGGTGCTGCCTGAGTAGGGCGATATGTCGGACATGTCTTGCAGGTCCCCACACTCTGATTTGATGAGGGACAGGGACAGACCCTCTGGCCCATGTTGGCTTGGTGAGCTCTGCCTGTGGTGGTGGTGGTGGTGGTGGTGGTGACTGAGGTGGCCCCCTCCAAGTGATGCCATTTTGGTTCTGAGGCTGACAGTTTCCCGGGTCATGTCCATGGAATCGGGGGAGGACCGATGGTGGTCTTTGGGCCCTGGAGGGTAGCCAGCTCCACCACCGTGTGACCCCAGTGGGTTTTGAAAGGGATACCCCATAAGGGGAAGAGGGAATGGGTGGCGAAATGATGGAGGGCTAAACCCGAGCGAGGCTGTGAGGGGAGAAGGGTGGAGGGAGGGATGGTGAGGTGGAGGAGGAAGAGCGGAAGAGAGGTTGGTGTTTTCTCCTCCACCTCCTCCACCACTCTTGCGCACCACCAACGGCAGTGCCTCTGTTTGGTCGTTGGGTGTTGGCACACCACTCAGTCTGCCGCTCAAACCACCAAAGGAATCCAGCGGGCTTGGGACAATTACATCGCCGAAGCAGTGCAGCCTCTGGTTGGAGGAGTGGTAGTTAGGAGTGGGACTGCCGTCGCCATTCATACTGAGGGCCAGGGCGCCACCGCCAAAGCGTGAGTCTGGGGTGAGGGAGGGGAGGGGACCGAAAGGTGGAGGGCAGGAAGAGGATGAGTTGGAGGAAGAGGAGGGTGCAGCTGGTGTGCTGCTGTGGCAGCCATGGTGATGACTGACGGCCTGCTTGGGCGAAGAGAAGCCCTTGACGACGGTGTCAACGACTTGCGACACGGCACAGTTCAGCTCCTGCTTTAGGGTCTCTGCTAGCTGCCTTCCTCCTCCTCCCCCTCCTCCTGCCACTCCCCCTCTCCTCTTCAACACCCTTTCTCCATTCCTCTCCTCCTCCTCCCTGCCGTCCACATCCTCCTCCATTTCTCCATCTATCAGGGCCTGTTCTCGGAGGAGGGCTCGGGCCCGGTCCAGGAACAGACCTGGGTCTAGCTCAGACAGATCGTCGTGGCTGTGTCGCCCTCTGTCTCTGTGCCTCTCCTCCAGGCCGTCAGATCGGATACTGTCCTCTGACAAGTTGCCGTCCTCCTCTCTTTCTCTACCTCGGTCGGCCTCTCCGCTCTCGCCATTCTCTTCCTCTTCCTCTGTCTCTGAGTCATAGATCTGGTAGAACTTCTCCTGAAGTTGACGTAGCTGTTTCTGAACAACAGAGGATAGAGAATGTTAAAGAAGACGTCTTCTGAACCCTGAAGGTCACCTGTTACCATAAATATACTAAAGGAGATATTGAAATAGTACAGTATGCCTTAACCCACTTGGTGGACTGAACATTTTTTAAGCAAACTCAGTTTGTTGCACCATTTTTGTTCTGCTATACTCTGCGCTATTGCATGTGCATCTACGCCACTGAAACACTGAGCTCAATGATTTTCTATCACAGCTCTGGCTTTCTCTAGGTACAGATTCAAGGAATAGGATGTCATGTATTTACTCCTTGAATCTGTGCCACTTTGAAAAGTTGGCCTTCCTTGAGACCCTGAAATCCAGGTTTCTTCATGCTGCTCATAACATCATCTGCTACCAACCTGCATGTCCTCCAGCTGCAGTTTGAGCTGCCGTCTCTCTTCCTGTCTCTGCTCCTGCCTTGAACACACCAGCTGGGTGAAGCTGTGCTGCTGCTGTGGCAGGCGCTGCTTTCTCTTATTTTCCCTGTAAACCTCACCAACGCTGACCACACCGCCCCGCGAACCTGGAGAGCTCAGGAGGGAAGAAGGGCCGTCACTTCGCCTGTGGTCATGGCTGCTGATGTTGTGGCTGTTGCCGTCTCCTCGGTGGTCATTGCTGCTGTTGCTGTTGTTGCTTCTGTTCTCATTCTCGCGGTTGCTTTCTTGGTTGTGGTCGCCAGCGTTTGGCCGGACCAGTGGCGAGTGACTCATACCGCGGATGATGTTTTCCACTCGTGCGCGCTTTGCACGAAGGTGCTCATCCGACAGCCTGTCCAAGTCGAAGGAGGAAAGAGGGAGTGACTGAGAGGAAGCGTGGGAGTTATGGCTCGAAGGAGGCGGTGGCCGCCCGAAGGTGGAGGAGGAGGACGGCGGAGGGGGAAGAGGAGGCCCAGGAGAGAGGCAGTCAGAGGGGCTATCCTGGTCACGGGAGGAGTTGCTGCAGGCATCCTCGGCCTGGATCTCTGAGCCTCCACTGGACAGAGCTCCACTCCCCTGTGATGGAGGACAGGAGTACTGAATTAATAAACAATTGAAAAATGTAATGGATCAATGGATGGGAATTGAAGACTAATTTAGTGGCCTGTGTTTGTTGGAGGAGTAAAATGCAGGTTGATTCAATGAAATGGCGATGCAAACCAATCATTAATTATCTAAAACTGAAATGAGTTAATTGACTTAACACTTCACCAGTCCCTGTAATTGTGTTTGTGTATACCTGAAAGCCAGAGTCACTCCCTCCATTCTTTCCCATGTTATTCTTCAGTAGCTGAGAGATGATGGTCGCCCCAGGGAAAGGCATTATGGCGTCTTCGTACGAGTTGGCCCTCTTCAGCAACTTCCTCAAAACATTTGACTTCTCTCCGTCACCGTTGGTACCCCCATGGCCGTGACTGACAAGCGAGCAGTCTCCGTCCTGATCGATGCTGTGCGATTGGTTCATGCTGTCGAGCAGGGTCTCCCTGGCGCGGGTGAATATCGCGCTACCCACAGTCCTTTTCACCCCAATGTCGACACGTCGGCGCTTCGTCTGTCTGGTTAGGAGGGTGGTGCTGTCATGATCAGGCATCACGCAGGGGAGCTAAACGGACATGACCAGGGGTCCTCACAGACGCATGCAGGATGAGAGGAGTTACCTGGTCAACAACAGACAAATAAACACATATCGCTATGATTAATACCTTTTCAGGTCACCTGGAAAGTGCCATTTTGCTCCAGAGACTATTAAAGGTTTCATTCCCAGAATGAAATCTTGATCATTTGGCAAAATTCTGCATAAAAAGATTATTTTTCAGTCAGAGATAAGTCCAATCATTGACACTGGTAGATCAATTTAATTACTCTTCATTATGAAAATATAGAAAGGAAATTTTCTGAAAATTATTTTCAATTGTGAGATATACTAGTGCTCAAATTAAAACCTAAAATCAGTTTACTTGGTCTTAAATGTTTTGTTGTATTTAAAAATATCAGAATTATTTCATAGAACAAGTTCTCCACACTTAAGAGATATTAGAAGACTACACATAAGTTTTTTCTTTCCAACATAAACGTAGAAATCTTGTGTAAAAATCCCCAATTGTGAACCATCACAAAAAATTCAAACAATTCAAACCAAAGTGTCTGACAGAAATGAATGTGGCAGCCACTTTTTTCGATCGCTCACTAAGCCAAATTCAAACAATTACACTTAGTACATGTCTTGACCAAAAGCCAAGGGAACCATTGAGAGAAACACACTTTTTAAAATAGTTCAAGGAGATATTCCCACAGAGAAGTAACACCTGCCTGTAAAACCCAAAATAATTTCCCATTTCCTCCTCCTCTCCTGAGGGGCAACCTTGATTTCTGCATCTTGTGAGGAGCTGTGAAGAATTGACAGGCTCTCTCTTATTGTCAAAGGGATTTCAATACACTCTAAAGAAAGAAAATGATTTTTTTTGGTGTGCTTTCTTTTTTACTTTTTCAAATTATTTTTTTTCTTTAAAAGGTACTTTTTTTTTTACATTTTTAAAAGCAGTGAATTTTTATGTTATTGTACTTTTTTGTCATGAGTGAATATATCTCAACAATTATATTGTAAGTGTAGAGAGGGGACACCTGTGGTGGTGGTGAAAGCACCTCATAAAGGTTATGTTTCTCTGTTGTTGCTCTGGAAACACCTAAAACTATCTAGGGGTGTTGAAGTGAAATGTTGAAGAGCTGGCTTTATTCATATCCAGAACTATCACCTATCAGTGGATTAGACTGACTGAGATACTTGCAAAAAAATCAGCAGAAAGTACAGGATATCCTAACCTTTCAGAAACAAAAGTCCCTGGCCAAAGCTAAATTAAACCTTTTTAATATTTCTTTCATCTTTAATTTAGGAATCAAGTCAAATGGACAAAAACATTTCTATGAAAGGCATCACAAAAAATAAGCGTTGGCCATTTTTTAAAAACGGGTTGAAGTCAGTATTTGCTCACACTTTACACATACACACACCCGCTTGCAGGCAGCATTTTCCTTGTAACATGTTTGCATCTGTTTTGCAAGTGATTTCAGGGTCAAGACTATGGAAATATTTCACAAATTAAAGCTGCTTCCTCCAACAGTTTGGTAGAGCAGTTTTAATTCCACAGTTGAAGGGACAGAAATATATTAAAGAGAGGCAGAAAATACTAACTCCGAGTTATGGTGTTGTACACGAGAGGTGTTCAGAAAAACACTCAGCCCCTCAACACAGTGCCCGGCAGTGACCCAGATACTCGCACTCACACATACAGTACATGCATACACACATTGCTCTGTGTTTGCATTATTGGTTCCTCACACACACACACACACACACACACACACACACACACACACACACACTTACACGGGAGGTAGAGAGAGTGCAAGGCAAACAGTTTAGATTAGGGGGTCCAAAGAGCTTGAAAACTTGGCTATTTTGAAATTTGTGTCCGAGGTCAGCTTGAGGGAACATCGGTGTGAAACCAGCAAATGTTTCGTGTCTGCTTTAGTAAAACACAAGACAACAGAGGAGGAAAACGCCTTCATCACCTTTTCTGTGACTAATATCTTAAAAATCAAAGTTAGACTCAGACTTAGACTCTTGCTGCAATATACCGTGTTCAAATAGACAAGAAGTTGAAAAACCTTTTGCGTTTATGTTCAGTCTGTGAAAGGTGATGTGAGAGTGTGTGTGGTAAAACAGAAACGTGGGTTTTAATCTGAATTTAAAGAGCAGGAATAACTTGCTCTGCAATTGAGAACTGAAATGGGAAGTAGCTGTAGTAGTAACTGTAAATGGCATATTTCCATTTAAAAGGTAAGCCTGTGGTGGCTCATGGCTAAATGAAATTCTCTTTGTTGAAGGTATGACGTGGAAAGTAAAGCCTGTTAGTTTTAAACATTATCCGGATGTTTTAACCTTATAGAAATACTAAAATTACAAACAGAAAAGGTCTAAATGATTTTTGTTAGTAGAAGTTCTTTTTTTGTAAAAGATGGAGGTTATAATCAGCACACCTTGTACTTCCTTCTGCATCTCAAAGAGGAACCAAATAACGTGGTTATTACTGATAGCTCCGGTGAGAAGTGGATCTGTAGTCCTCGCTGTACTGACTGTGTGCGCTCTGAGCGCAGAGCCCCGCTGTCCAGAGACAGAAATCCCAAGTTGTTACATTTACGCACGGCAGGATTATGGACGGCAAATATACAGCAGAACATGCCGTTTATTCTTTTATTATCAAGCTTGTGAAGTTTTCTTGAGATAAATCAACTTGTTTCCAAAACACTTTGCTCTTGTTTTAACGATGAAGTGTGAGGAGCCTCTGTGGAAACAAAGCTGGATGCTGAATGACTTCACCACAGATCAGTAAAATGGGCTGGGAAGACGTTTATTTGATTTGGAAGCAGGAGCGTTTTGTCTCTTATTCAGAGTTCTGTATGTGCTTTAATTAGAGAAGAGTTCAATTACTTGTTAATCATCAGCTGACCGAAAACTACCACGAAACCCAAAAGCAACGGCAGGTGCGTCAATCCCTGCGAGCTGAACTCTGCAATGAACTGCCACTGACAGTAAAGCGCTTACCAAAACCTCATTTCCCCCCCTTTTTTAAAAAACTTTTTACTTTTAAAACAGACCTCGGGCAGAGGTTTTAGTGGACGCTGACTCGCCGACAGAAATCACGAGCGGTCTGAGATCAACGCGCATAAAGTCGGTACGAGCAGAAACAGTTTCGGGAAATAGTCCAAAATCCAACTAACCCATGTGGATGCGCGATGTGTGACGAGGATGGACCGTCTCCATGAACTAACAGTGAAAGTTAAGTTACAAAGAACAGGTCGGACAAATCACACACACACACACACACACAGACACACACACACACACACAGACACACACAGACACACAAACAATATAATAATAATATGAACTAATACATGTTTGTACTTACTTCTCTGTCGAGGGTTTCTCCAAGTCGGTCCGTCGAAGAAAGGGCGAACACAAGAGACAGATCCGCACTCGCCGTTAAGATCAATGCCGTAATTTACTACGGCAAAGTGGAGACGTATGCGGAGCGTGCGTGCGCGCGGGCGTGAGTGTGTGTGCGCGAGGGAGCGAGAGAGACAGCGAGAGAGAGAGAGAGAGCAAGAGAGAGAGAGAGGGAGAGAGAGAGACTGCTCTCGTGCGCCGCTCTCCTCCCGGGATGGGAAGTGTTTAGTATCGAGCGCACCCGGTCCGTCCTGCACTCTCGGTTCGTCGCGAATCCCGCTTTCTCCCTCTGAGCGACGGCAAGACTCTCAATAAGAAACAAGAAGAGACGCACATGAAGGATACGTGAAGACGTTGCGTCACTGGCCCCTGAGTGAGGTAACGGCTCCACCTGACCAATAAGGAAGAGGAACCGGGGACAGTGGATTTTATTTATAAGGAGCCCCCCGGAAAACTGCGCGCAGGCAGAGCGGAGAGGGAGAGGGAGGAGAGAGGAGCAGAGGATGCGGAGGGTAAACTCAAAGTCTGCTTCACCAACCTTTCTCATGTGCGGAGAAACTGAAACGAATCTTTGTAGAACAAATGTATAGTTTAATTTAAACCGGATTGTGAGGACATCGGTTTAAGCAATATTTATTTAGTTAGTTTGTTTTTCTTCTTAATTGATAAGTCATATTCCATTTTGTATTAAAATACCAGTTTAACAAATCAAAGCAGTAAATGGTGTCATTCAATAAAAACAACTTTCAAAAGTCATTAAAAAAAATCAACTTTTCATTATTTGCATTCTTCAGCAGCATGTTCGCTCAGCTCCATTCAGACTTTTAATAAACACAGACTTTAAGTTGATCTCTTTCTTTTCATTCCTCCTCATCGATGCTCTTTGTAAGTCAGAAACTATAAAAAGAAACACCTCTCGTGCCTTTGTGCAGCTGTAATTGCGTGTGCGTAATTGGGGACAGCCGTGCGCCTCTGCGCCAAAGAAAGTTCTCCAAAAATGATAGTAATAAATAACACTTTTGATGGGGAGACTCCCCTGTTCTCCACAGAGCAGGGGTCAGGCAGCCCCCTGGAGCTGATAAGGAGTTGGTGTTTTGCTCACGGACACTTCAGCAGAGCGGAGGCTTGCTTCAGCTGAGGAGTCTCCACAGCGCTTCTGGAGACTCCGAGAGCTGTAAATAAAAACACAATCACAGGAACATGCAAACAATATTTTAAAAAGACAAACACGACGAGGCCTTTTTAGGAAACAGGCTGCTTTAAAGATCCAGCAATGAATCCTGCACCGATTTTTCATTTATTGCATAGAAATATCAGCTTTCCTGTCACAGTTTCTATGAAATACTCGGAGCTTTTAATTCGAGTTAGACCTAATGAAATACAATTGTAAAGGTTTGGAGTCGTATGTTTGTTCTATGTTGAGTTAACACGCACGTTCCTACAGTACCAAGGCTCACTGATGACCGATTCACCGCTTTCTATGATGAGTGCGCAGCTCGGGAAATACAAACCCAACAGAATTCTTTCACAGGACGCATCGTGTGTACCCTGAATCCCACAGACCGATGACTAAAATCCAAATCACACACACAGAAAACAAATGTATGAACCGAACTGCGGATTGTTCAGGGAAGTTAATGAGAATAATTTACACACAGAGGGAAATGTCCGTTCAAACAAGACAGTGGGTGTCCAACTCTGTCTCTTTGTGTAAAACAGGTGGGGAATTCTGTTTATGGAATAAACATAGAAGCGTATTAAACTGTTCCTGAGGGGAAAGTCTGAGGCAGATTACTTCCCATAAGAACCTCAGGAACTGAAGAAAAGAACGAGGAAATGTGTGAGAAAAGTGGAACTATATAAGGTCAACATTTTTGGATTGTTTTTTTTTAAAAAACCGTATCAAGCTGAATTAGATTGTAGACTCGTTGCATTAAAGTAAATCAGCAGTGTGTGTATTTCTGCAGTGTGTGTATTTCTGCACAGGTATGCAGAGCGCTCTCTGTCTGTGTGGGCCACCTCATGAAAAATACCTTTCTATTAATAATAGCGCATGTGTAATTCAAAGTTGTTGATATGGAACATTTTTTTCTTGAAGGGTGATGCCCCCCCCCCCCCCCTCATTCAAACCAGGTCATTTAAATTGGATGCGGGATTTCTCCATTATCACTCAATCGGCGGACCCTCTCTAACAAACGAGCATCGTCAGAGCTGTGCATCGAAGTGCCTCTCATCCAGCATCTCTCCTCTTAACTTAATTGCGCTCGGGGATAATCGGCATTTGCACGAAGTTATAATTTCAACTACTCTGCAGCTGTGCCGTGCGGTTTAATTTGTAGAAAAAGAGAAATATTAAAACCCCGAAATGTCCGATAAATATTTCCCCCGAGGAGACAGATGTGTGTTCCGTGCCGCACAGGTTGTGCTTGCATGCAGAGGCGAACAGGCCCTGTAATATAATGATCTCTTGCCAATTATTTGGCACAGACATGGGAACTTAACTTCACCACAATGGCACACACAAACTTTATTTTTTTTTCCGCCTAACAACGCGCCATAAAAGCTGTGACCTATTTGAGCGACGGCGCCCTGGGTGATGCCATTTTATACTTTTGTATCTGCGTATATATCTGCGTGCTGTTTTAATATTTCTTTCATCCTTAATTTAGGAATCAAATGACGTTTAGGGAAGACAATAAAAGTCCAACTTCTAGAAATCAGCTTATGGAAAAATATATATTTGCGGGGGGGGGGATCCTCTTTCCTGACTGTGAGGCCAAAATAGGAGGTGGGGGTGTGCGTGGATATACGGATTATCTCTGTAAAGAGGAGGGGACAGTGTGGAATTTCGCTTATGAGACAGATTCGCTGCTAAAAATGGGAGGAATGAGACAGTACTGAAAAATTAAATAAAGATTATTTACAGCTGCTGGATTAAAAACAGCCACATAATAACAAATACAGGATGACAAATAATCCCAAAATAGTGTAGATAATATTTGTCTCATAATTGTGTGCTTTCACTTACTAGAAACTATGATTAGTAGAAGTTGTTTTCACAGTCAGGAGTAGAAAATAAGTGTATTAATATTTAACTCCTTGACCTGCTCCTGTTTACTTACCTGATGTGGCAATGACCCCCAGTAGTGGGTGTGTGTGTGTGTGTGTGTGTGTGTGTGTGTGTCAGAGAGAGAGAGTCTGTTACTCAATGAATTAGAGAGTCATACACACACACACAGGTATTTATGAAACAGACACAAGTAAGGTTGAAACCGAGAAAGAGCAAGTGTGGGATTGTTTGTGTGTTTCGGTCATGGTCAGTCACCCTGAACTGTCCCCACAGTTTACTCAGAGCAGCCGAACACCCCGGAGTTACCTTACAACCCAAATACCAGCAGTTAGGTTTTTAATCAACCAGCCACTGCTAATATTATAGGATTTAACCAAAGAGCCAAACTGACAATCCAAACAAGGACAAGTCATGGTCAGACAGCACAATGCACTTTTAGCTGACACTCTCATCCATAGTGATAGAACAGTTTTCCCACTAGAGGAAAGAGACGGATGGAAATTACCCCTGAGCTAGATTTTAGAGAGAGCATTATCCGCGAATGCTTTTTGGACCTTTTTCGAGCAATCAGTGTCAATATTTTGTTAAATGTGCGATGCAAGTGGAAGGAGGAACTAGAAAAATGTCACTGGACTCAATCTTTGTGATCTATTCAGGAGGGCTACAAGTAAAAGTCGATAATTAGTTTAACAGTTTTACAGTATTATGGTTGCATACATTTTAAACACCAGTCGCACCAGTGGAAATCTGACAAATCACTTTTCAAGAAACAGATTTGTCAGAATTCATCTTTTTTTTCCCTGGCAGTGCAACATGTATCATTACAACATGACGTGTGACGGTATTGTACACAGAAGATCCTCTGTTGCATTAAATGTCATTAACCACAGGTTCACATTTGACAGAAAATCTGCTTGATTTCTTGTGGCTCAAAACAGGAACCAGCTTTATCTTGCAAGTCTCAAACAGTTGTATTCCAGTTCCACTTTTCTGTTTCAACCATACACCAAAGAAGACTCGCTCAATGCATCAGTGACGTCAGCTTTACATCTCTTAAGGTGTTTTGGAAGTCAGAACATAGACGTTTTTGCAGAAGGGGAGGAAGTCTGGTGAACCATCATAGCTGACAGCAAACTTCACTTCTCTTAAACGTCAAGTCAAACCAAAGACACATTACAATAAATAAATATCGAGATCTAAAATTTGTCTGGAGGGAAAAAAGCTAACTTTCTAAACTTCATTCGTTTTGGAGTTGGAGTTTTTGTTGGAGCCAACATCTAGCAGCCAGCAGTAGAGATGCTACATCTTGAAGGACTTGTGCAGTGGCTTCAGCTGACATTGATAAAAAATAGCATATTCCTTTTTCTTCCAAATAATGCTTCAGTGGCATCAAAAGTTCATTTTGTTAAAAGCTTGGGACTCATACTGAGATGTGTCTTTCTGCAAGGGCAAGAAAAATCTCATCATCATGCTGAAAAGAGACAAAAAGGGACTAATGAAAATAGAAAGGCAGAAAGAGGGAATAATGATAGGCCTGCTACTGATGGAGGTCTGGAGGTAGAGACAGATGGATGCAGAGGTTTCTCTTTCTGTCTTTTTCTCCACCCCCCGTCCCTCTCCACTGTTTTTCTCTTTGTCTCTTTTTCTCCCCCCTTTCTCCTCTTTCTCTTTTTTCGGCTACTCTCTCCATCAAGATGCCATTATTCAGGACATTAGCGAAGAAGAGCTAAAAGCTCTCACTGTCGAGGAGGGTCCCAGGGTCCTTTCTGAGAGCTGTGACGCAAACACACATGCACGGACACACACACACTTTGACTACAGAAGTACCATATAGTATAGGTGAAGAGGTAAGAGGAGGTAAAACGGTCTTATAGCAGACATTACCAGGGATCTAGGCTCCTCTCCTCTGTGGCCAAAAACGTGGACATTAGCCGACTCAAAGAAAAAATGAACAGTGCAACAACTGGGCAGGCACCATGTCCTCATGGGTTTATTTATACTTTGTGAACTTTTATACACAGCATCTTTTTTCTTTGCTTCTTTTTCTCAGCTCTCCTGTAACTCTCATAATTCCTCGAACATTGTATAGAAATGTACTGAAAATTGCTGCGTCTTGTGTATATAAATTAGGGTAAAAGGTATTGACGTGCGCATTGTAACAACAGGCAAGAGTTCTTGTGAAATTATCTGCTGTATTCAATCGTGATTCTATTAAAAATCCAGAGTCTTCTCTAAGTTGTGGATTACACTTTTTCACAATTCTGTGCACCTGAAAACGCGACTTGTGTCATCACTTTGTGCCGGAAAACTCATCA